CCCCAAAACCCCAAAACCCCAAAACCCCAAAACCCCTTTATGTGTGAATTAAAATGAAGAAACAGGAATTTATGTGAATTATTATGTAATTCTAAAGTATTAGTAACGGTGATGGCTTTAGAGTAGCCCATACGGGAATCTTTCACAATGAGAGGCTCTGCTGAGCACCTTCTTATTTGTCCTTTCTGGAGTTTGTTCCAGTGTGAACTTTGGTGTAGAGCTTTAGATTTCTTGTAACTAGCACAAATTTGGGTTATAATCTTATTAAAATCGATTGCGCTTTTCTTGATTTATAATAGTACTAGTAGATTCATAAATGCGTATCCAACACATCCTCAGATTCTAGAATCTTCGTTCTGAATGGGGGATTTAAAACTCAAAGAGGGAGATGAAGAGCAACAAGCGTACTAAACCTCAGCACGATCAACTACAATTTTGATCAATGCTTCGCGAAATTTAGTGGCTGCTTTCATAGCTCCTCTGCCTTTTTTGAGCTTATGATTATTTGATTCGATATTGGGATAACGATTAGGAGTTTTGGATGCATATGAATCGTTCTGATCTCAGCTTCCTTAATATATTGTGAATCCTATTAATTCTGCATTTCATGATTTCAAAATCGTGATTAAATTAACCACTAAAAATGCATGAAATCCTCTGAGAATCGAGGAAATGCAGAACATCTAAGAAGTGTGCAAATGGTAGATATGAGGTTCTAACCACCTACTTATAAAATATTGGTCAATCTACTTTGCATATCTTAGTTATTAGCTAAGATATTAGTAGTGTTCCAATACTTCAACTGTGATTCTTTGTCCGTATTGGCTCAGCCTCACCTTCTTTGTCTTAATCTTTCCAAAAGGAAGGTAGACTAAGACTCATTAAAGCAGGTTATTTACATAACCTTAACTTTAACAATCTCACCATGCCTTCCTTTGTTAATATAGACAATGGAGATTTCAAGTTCCAAGGTTGAGGCCATTTTGTGGAGTATTCGAAGAGAACCTTCCATTTCTTTTTGATTAATTCCGATAGATTCTCCCTTGTCTCCAACTCCGATGACATAGTAAGCTTCTCCATTTCCTTCGCTAAGTCTGAACTTCATCTGAGTGGTAAGTCTCAAGATTCTCTCAGGGCGGCTTTGAGTGAGCTTGAGCTTGTACTCAGTGTTTCCATAGTACCTTTCTTCATTGATGTCGGAAGCAACGGATTGACCTTCAAAGTTGTGCTCCAACTTCATAAGGTTGTACTGAGCAATAAAGGCATCAGAGGCCTTTACTTCTTCCTCAGTAAGTCCCTTAATAGAAGCTGGCTTTGAGTCAGCAGGGAGTACCTTGTTCTCCTCATTGGTAGATTCAGTAGCCTTCACCATCTGGTACTGGGCCTTATGGTCTTCTTCATTTTCGTTCAGAAATAGTTCGTTTTCTATGGTCATAAAGTTTGGCTGGAGGCAATGCCTTTCATGCTTCTTATTCCGATTCCGCTTCTTAGTCTTCTTAGCTCCTTCAGCTATCTTTAGTAGCTTCATTTCCTCCTCTATCTTCTATAAACCAAGGTTAAATCACAGTTTGAGCGGAGATTGTTCACTAGAATATTGCTATTGGGACTCTATCTTCAATACTTACCTTATGCTGGTCGCTGGCAACCTTCTTATGACTCTTTTTCTTCTTAATGCCTATCTCAAAGATAGGGTCTTCCTCATCACTCTCGCCTAGTGCAAGTACATCTGCATAGCAAAAATCAAATGACATTTTTAAAATTATATATTAAAATGATTGGTTAACGATTTAAAAATAAGGGAAAGCCAATTATTCAATAAATTTTGGATTTTAGGGGTTTTGGGGTTTTGGGGTTTTGGGGTTTTGGGGTTTTGGGGTTT